TTTGTTGAACCAGGTGAGAACTCAAGGGACCAGAAAAAGTATCATTTGTGAGAGTGACGTGAGTCACCAAAACGATAACAAAACGAATAAAATAAAGTACATCCATTGAGGTAAATAGCAATTAGTGCAAAACCAACGGGAGTGGTGGAGTGTGGTGACACATGCTCATTTACTAATTCGCAGACGTTGCTCAAGGTTAAATAATGGCTTGTTAAAGAAAGCATTGTTTTAACCCAGCCATGCCTTTTAGGTAATGTTTCTTTGAAATACTGTATCCATGACTTAAAGCTTTCGTGACTGCAGGAATTCATATTCTTTGGGTCTTTCGGTAAAGTCACATAGATGGGTTCAAAGAAAATAACAAAATCATGAACCGATCTATGTGACTTTACCGAAAGACCCAAAGAATACTGTATCCATATTGTGTTTTTGCGAGGTAATTTTTTTAAAATAGCCAAATGCAACAATCAAAAATACCAACAATGTATAAGAATAAAAAAACAGCTAATAACGTTTTAAAAATCCAAGCAAGCCGTTGAATTGTACCCTAGTCTTGTGTTGTTTGATAACGTAGCTCGAACGCAATGATATTTATACTAAATTGTTCGGGCATCTTGGTGAGGGATGTTTACACTTTTAAAAGTAGTTTTTTATACATAGTGTGCTTAATGTGGTTTAGTCTTTGAGTGTTTTTCTTCTCCCCATAACGCGTGCCACATAACACATTCGTAATGCAAATATAAAAGCGGCGACCTCTGAACTGCTGTTTGTAGCGCCAACAACATTATAATCACTAACCCTACACAAATACATTTGTAGGCAATTTAGAAATGACTCCATTAATTTTTTTAGTCTACCAGATGATGACTCTACCGTATTACTTTAATAAGCAAATGTAATGTGTGCACTGCATATTGCGGCGATATATATGTAAAAGCATACGGTATTTACGAACCAGTGACCACATAACCCAACCACCCCTTCTCCTTAACAAATGTGGCCACGCATGCAGCCTCATTTAAAACCATGCATTGAGATTATGTTGGTGCCATGTCCAAATGATGGGCCGCTTTGTTTAACTATCATTTGTAGCCGGGTCACTTCTAAAAAATAAGTGAACACCTCAGCGGGCTTTGCCTGGTAGGACGGTGGTATTTTAGTTGTATTTGTACGTGTTTGGGCGATTTTTTTACCATCAGTTTAACACATTTTCAGTTTCAGTTTCATTTATTTGGTATAGCCCTGTGAGCCATTCGGCTCTTGAATCGGGTGCAACCGCAACAAACAAAAAAATGAACAAGAAAACATCTTAAAGTGACTATGTGACTATATGCAAACAAAAAGTCAAAGAAAAGACAGCAAAATATTGCATAAAAAGCACCGTGCACCAATCCTGTGTGCAAAAATCCCAGTGGGATGCAGGCTTCATACTCTTAGGTTTTTCGGTAAAGTCACGTAGGTAAAAAAGAAATAATAATAGAAATAAAATAATAAATCACGACGTTTCGGAGGCAACACAAGTCTCCGTCATCAGGTGGGACCGTCACAGCTAGATTTACTGTATCAAGTGAGGCAAAATTCCAAGAGTCAAGCTCTTAAATACAAGTTTAAGGGGAGAGGGAAGGGGGAGGGGGTTATCTGAATGTAGAAGCCAATGAGTGGAACGTGTTGGGGGGGGGGGGGTGGGCAGGGCTAAAAGAGAACAGTAGGTGCATCTTGTTGATGTTTCACCCGATGTTGGTTGACAATCCAAATACAAAAAAGGAGCAGAAAAGTTGTTGGTTGACAATCCAAATACAAAAAAGGAGAGGAGAGTGCTGCTAAACGCTGGGGATGTCAACAATGCCACTACTGGACATCATACTCTTAGGTTTTTTTCGGTAAAGTCACATAGGTAAAAAAAGATAATAGAAATAAAATAATAAATGAAAATAAATCAACCTACTGGACATATGTAAGAAAAGGGAGAAAAAAGCTTCATAGCTCATCAGATTCCTCCTGCAGTATAAATAAATATTTCTGATTCATTCCCAACTCAAGCCACCTCCCCAACCCAGCCAAATGTATTTGTGAAGCTGGCAGACTCTGGCTTTACCCCTATCACATTTCCTACACTGGATAGGGAGTTGGGGGTGCCCCCCCCCCCCGCGCGAGCGAGCGCTCCTCGCCTGCCATTGGTTGGAACGAGAAGAGACGACCAATGGGAAGAGGGCGGAGAGGCGAAGTTAGGATGGGGGGTGTTTGGGGGGGGGGGGTGGTGGAGGTGGGGGTTGGGGGGAGAGGTGGGGGGTGGGGTGGGGGTTGGTGGCGAGAGGTGGTGGGGGATGTGGGGTGGGGGGGAAGGGAGTGGGGGGTGGGGGAGGTGGGGGGGGAGGTGGTGCCCAAGAGAGCTAGGAAATGTAAACGCGAAGTGGACCCGGCGAAATTGTTGGATCCGGTTCCCCAATGGGAGTCAGCAAATGGGGGGGGGGGGGGGGGGGCTCCCCCCGACCCCCCCACTCCCTCCCTCCCCCGGTATTAATTGTAGCTATAATCTTATATTTTATATACATACGTGTATTATGTGATTCGATCAATTAAAGCGGCCATTCGTTATCCGCTGCTGGATGACGATCTTATTTTTTGCGTTTTTGCCACTTTTTTGGGTCCCCTCGTGTGCCAGCCACCTGATCATCATCCCACTGATGTCCCCTTGGCGTGAAGTGGTTCAAGCGCACCTCACTCTTTAGAAGACTTTAAACTCTTTGCATGCCAAAGTACGCACTTTGCATGGACTATATAGACGGGTTGAGGGCGACTTGCTGTAAAGTATCTCAAATTATCTCAATTTTAAAATAAATCGAGGCGATATCAGCCGTGTAACAAATTACCTGTTTTATGTAAACAATAAGGCGCACCATGAGAAGATATCCGCTACTTTTACTTTAATACCACAGGGAAAAGTGCGTCCTAATCTGTAGAATTAGCTACAATGTACAATTACCATTGGAACAATTAGCAACAACTCCCTTGGGCTATACATTTCTCACATACAAGAGCCACAAAGCTCTTGACAGCTTAAGCATTAAAGACTTAAATGGCCAAAACATTTGGGAAAGTAATTTATAAGCCAGTGTCCTGTTGGCGATGTTTCCACTTGTAATTGTTTATGCGGTAAAATGGATAATAAAACAATGTGATCCCCAGGAAATACGACTCATTGCGTGTCGAGACACCTTTTCTCGAAAGTCTTGCCAACTAATATTTGGATGTTTAGCCCATTTCCTCAAGTGAAATTGTGGCTTCACATGAGAGCACAAAGCACAACCTGGATCAACCCTCTTTGGTTTTTTCGGTAAAGTCACGTATAAAGATAAAAGAATAAATGCTATTATTTAATTTATTATTTTATCTTTATACGTGACTTTACCGAAAGAACCAAAGAGTAATTCCTGCAGTCACGAAAGCTCCAAATTAAGATTGGATCAACCCTCTCATGCGGTGGGGGGGGGGGGGGGGGGATACCACTCAAAGCTCCGCACAGATATATTCAATAACTCCTTGCTGTACAGACACAAACTGCAGGTCACCTCGAAGCCAACAAATACAATGGACATTAGGCCATGCCACACTTCCCATCCTGTTGTATGAATACATTTATTTGCACTGCGTTGGGATCTAAAGAATGAAATGCATTCTTATAAATTCATACCTGTCAACCCTTCATCAGTGCCTACCTTGTCACAAACCAAATCAGACCTTATACTGGTAGGAACCTCCTGATTACACCAGCCCACAGGAGATTATTGTGTCCGTCCGTCCGTCGTGCAGGGAGGGGCTGGGTGGGGAGGGAGGGGCTGGGTGAGGAGGGGAGGTTGGGGAGGGGCTGGGTGGGGAGGGTGGGGTGGGGCTGGGTGGGGCTGGGTGGGGTGTGGGAGGGGCTGGGTGGGGAGGGTGGGGCTGGGTGGTGGGTGGGAGGGGTGGGGCTGGGTGGGGAGGGGCTGGTCACCCCGTGGTGCCCTTATAAAACTCAACGTTTAACCTACTCACGCCGGCTTGTGCCCGCCCTCACAGTCGGGCATATTTGCGGAATACACCACGCCGCCGTTGACCCTGGCCATTGACCGAGCAACCCAACGTTCCTACCAGCTCCCTCCGCAGGAATGTGTTTGGCCACCACGTGCCCTTATAAACCTCAACGTTCATCCCACAAAGTCCCATCACAAGGGAGAAACACAAACAAATGGATATATTTATTGTGCCCGTATTTAAACGGCTGTGCGCCGTATGGACCTGAAAACTCAAATTCCCCGTGTATAAGAATAGGGGGTAAACCGTATGGATTGACAGATATGCAAACTCGATGATGAGTGTTACCAAAATAACACAAGCATGTACAAACCATAATATTTTATTTTTATTTTACTTTTATTAATTTTAATTTTATTTTTTTACCTACGTGACTTTACCGAAAAAACCTAAGAATAGGGGGGGGGGGGGGGTTGGTCAGATCTGTCAAGTAAACAGAACGTGCCAATGCCTTGCTCGTACAGCAACACCGGTGTGTGTGTGTGTTGGAGAGCAAAATCCACAACATTTTGCAATCCGAGTTCCACGTTTCGCCGGCAATTACAACCGGCATCTTCAGGCGAACGAAAACATAATCGGATCGCCGCCACGCGAATCGAACACCGCGACGCGAATCGAACACCGCCCGCGATTCTAATGGGTGGGGCGTGAATAATACACGCTGACGACGAATCGAATCGACGGGATTTAGGAATCGTGAGTTTTAAATGAATCGAATCGGGAGCGGTGGTGCAACGATTAGCGCGCCGGTTAGGTAGACGACCTCTGGAAACCCACCCGTCCCCCTGCACTTCTCCTAGGTCGACTCGGCCTCAAATGAGCAAACGTCGCTGGTCAACTCCACCCCGCTGTCGCGGCCCCGCAGAGGCGCTGCTGGCTAGCAGCACTTGCCCCTCGGAGTCTGTGACAGGGGCTGGCCGGGGGATCTTTGTCTTTGTGTTGTTGGTGCCGTGGCTCTCCCGGTACCCGGTTCCCGACGGGGGTTGGGACTCGATTTCCGACGGGGGTTGGGACCCGGTTCCCGACGGCGTTTGGGACCCGGTTCCTCGGGGTCCGGGGCTCGGGAGAGAGCGGAGGCGGCGGCGGCGGCTTCCTTTGGTGAGTGGCCTCTGTGTGTGTGTCGTGTGTGTGTGTACATATACACACACATGTGTGTATGTGTACACACACACACAGAGTACACACACACAAGGGTACGCACACGCGCGTGTGTACACAATAGTAAACACATGAGTACGCACGCACACGCGTATACACACAGATGTGTACGCATGAGTACACATGCACGAGTAGACACATCCACACACGAGTACGTACACACACGTGCATACAGACGTGCACACACGTGCACACACACGTGCACACACATACGTGCACACACGAGTACACACACACACGAGTACGCATGCACACACACATGTACACACACGTACACACACACGCGCACACACACAACACACACGAGTAAACGTGCACACACGTGCACACACACGAGTACGCATGCACACACATGCACACACACGCACACGTACACACACACACACGTACGCACACACACGTGCACACGTACACACACACACGTACGCACACGTACGCACACACACGTACACACACATCTACACACACACGTGCACACACACGTACACACACGTACACACACACGTGCACACACACGTGCACACACACGTACACACACACGTGCACACACACACGTGCACACGTGCACACACACACGTGCACACGCACACACACGTGCACACACGTACACACACGTGCACACGCACACACACGTGCACACACACGTGCACGTGCAGAGGTACACGCGTGCAGAAGTAGTGTACACGTGTGTTCACAGGTATACATGTGTACACACATTCATATACAGGTTCGTCTGCAGACAGGTACACGCGTGCAGAAATACTGTTAACTTGTATACATACTAGTGAATGTCTATACCTAAGCATTGGTCACGTATTCACTCGTGTGTGTGTGTGTTGTGTGTACGAATGTGTGTACCACCTTTATCAGTTTACACTCGTAAACTGATAAAGGAACTTGTACACAAGACAAATGATAAACTATCTCCTGTACACCTTAACAGACTTGGTGGTGGTGGTGGGTGGGGGGCTAAACATGTTGCTTGTTAGCGAGCGGCAATCTTGAGTTGTTAAAAGATATAAACAATGATCATCATCATCACCAACAATTATTTAACAGGGAGAAGGTTTGTGTCACGTAAACAGAACTTGCCAATTCGTTACATCGATTGTGCCACAAACATTTACAAATCTGTCTGTCGCCTGATGATGCTGGTTCCAAGTCTCTTGTAAATGTTGTGGATTTACTCTATAAGCAAACTAGTAACAAATTGGCACGTTCTGTTTATGTGACAAACCTTACTAATTGGTTGGGTTTAACGACACATTTATCTTTACGCGATCTAACACTAAAAAACCCTGTGTATTATGGATAATATTGATCGCGAAAGCCTTCGTGTTCAATAATTGTTGTTGTTGGTGATGATGATGATGAGGCTACGTGGCACACACGCACAATTGTTGATATATTTGTTTAAACTCAACACATCAGTCAATAACACTGCCGTAAAGGAAACTAATACATTAGGCGACGTTTCGGGGAATGACCCCTTTTCCATAGGACTATACACACACAATGCAGTACAGACTCTCACAGTATGCGGGCTACATACGAGAAGGGAATTGTTGCACATTCGCTTCATAATGATCACAGGGGGCATCACTTAAATGTAAGTCCTTTGTTAGTTCACTGCTTGATCCTGCAGACAACACACAGCGTGTGTCCACCAACGCGTACACACGGTACACTGTGACAAGCTGTACGTGTGTACGCACACAAATGTGTACGTGTGTGCACACTTGAGATATTTTTAAAAGCAATTATTAACGAAGGTGAGGATTTAGTTGTTGATACAATTACACACATGTACACCAATTCCATATTATTTTACATGTGTATAGAGAGTACATGCAAAGACAAAGATCCACCACCCCCCGTATAGCCTTAACAGACTGTTGGGGCAAGTGCTGTGTCTTTGATGGCCGGAACGACACACACGAAAGAGAAGGTGTTTGGTGGCGAATACTACGGTCTCGTTTAAAGCTGAGTCGACCTAAGGGAGGCCCGGCACCGGTTCAGATATTCGCCAAATGTCGATGATCCGTGAGCGGGCATTGACCTCGGCTCGCCAGGGGGGGAGGGGGGGGGTCGTAGCGCTGTACGATAACTGCTTACACCACCGCTATACATGCACACACGTGCACACACACGTGCACACAGATGCACACACGTGCACACAGATGCACACGCGTGCACACGAGCACACAGACGCACACACGCTCACACACACGTGCACACAGATGCGCACACATGTGTGCACACACGCGCACACACGTGTGTGTGTGCACACACGCGCACGCACACACACGCGCACACACGTGTGCACACAGACGCGCACACACGTGTGCACACACACTGCTCACACACACGTGTGCACACACACGCTCACACACGTGCACACAGACGCGCACACACGTGTGCACACACACGCGCACACGGACGCGCACACACGTGTGCACACACACGCGCACACAGACGCACACAGATGCGCACACGGAGGCGCACACGTGCACACACAGACGCACACACGTGCAAACCCCCCCCCACACTGTAGACTATTCATGATGCAACAAAGACAAAGCTCCCCCGTGTAGCCTTAACAGACTGTATGGGCAAGTGCTGTTAGCGAGCAGCGCCTATGAAGGCGGCACGGCACACGAGGGGGTGGGTGGGTCAGCAACCATGTCCGGCCGCCTTTGTCTTACCGAGTGGCGATGCTTTTACACATCGCACCAGGTACTCATTTGAGGCCGAGTCGACCTAGGGGAGGCCCAGGTACCGATCCAGATAATCGTCACCGGTGATGGTCGCGAGCTGGAATTGAACTCTGATCGCCGGGTTCGTAGCCGCTAACGCTACCACGATGCACACACACACATCGCACTTTACATGGCCTTTGATACAAACAGATGCTCGCATACACCACGTGTCCATACAGATACGTACGCACTCGCACGCCACGTAGTGTACGGATACACACACGTGTGTGTGTGTGTGCGTGCGCGTTGTGTAGCACTCGTGAAATACAACGCTGCGGTCATTTACTGCACAGTCTATGTGTGAGTGCGAGTGACGTTTACGCTGATTTACACGCTGCACACGTATACATTACAAGCACACGTGTGCACGTGGCGCACGTACACACGTGTGCACGTGCACAGGGCACACGTGTGAACGTGTTGTATCATCAGGCCTGCGCGTTTGCTCAAGTGTTCATAATCAACGTTTTTGGGTTAGATCGCGTTATTTATAAATGTGTCGTAACCCTCCACCACCCGACACGGCCAATCAGCAATACAAAAAAGTGTCACGCTGACAAAAGACAAATAGTTCACTGCTTTAGCCCACCGGTGTGTTGAAGCGTGAAACCACAACATTTTCAATTTTTTGAGTAGTACGACGTTTCGCTGGTAATTGCATCCAGCATCATCGGGCAATTCGCCAGAATGGTGAGGCTCTGCTCAAGTGCGTTTTCCAGCGGGCAGCCCCATGACTTAACAAAGGCAACCGGAAGATTTGTCTCTGCAGACTGTCAAAAAAAAGAAACCCCAGTGTTTATATTCTTTGGTTCTTTCGGTAAGGTCATTTAGATAGAAAGAAAATAGAAAGTGAAATAAAAATAAACCAAAGAAAAATAATACAAAACAAAAACCACTAATGTCGACTGTATGATGTAGACTGTCGTCAAAATCTTGATTTGAATCTTGACTTGAAGCTTTCGTGACTGCAGGGATCCATCCTCTTTGGTTCTTTCGGTAAAGTCACGTGGGTAGAAACATTCAATCAATCACGACGTTTCGGGCGCAACACAAGCGTCCGTCATCAGGTGTGTTGCGCCCGAAACGTCGTGATTTATTTTATTTGATACCTACGTGACTTTACCGAAAAAACCAAAGAGTCTGTAGTCAAAATGTCAACCTGTGTGTACGAGGTAGCCAGGTGACGATGGCAAGTACGGCAGTGGATTCTTGATTCTCGTCTGTGTGGAGCTGAATGGCCACCACCACCACCACGACCCCCCTCGATATGCGTGGTGGGTTTTCTCCGTGCGGGTTCCCCTCGACGCAAAGCCCAAGGGCTCCGTAGTTTTGGCGTCTTGGCCAAACAAACGTCGGGACCCTTCCAAAGGATGGAGAGTCGTGAGATTAGCTGAGGCTACCCACCACCCCCCGCTCCCCTCGGAGTAAATACATCGAATGGTTATTTCTGTGCGTTATCATCATCATCGTCCGTCACCCACGGTGTGAGTGGCAGTGGCATGTGTCAAAATTGTACATTTGAGAAAAAATAACCACGAAACAAGTGCCATAAGTTTATACACCGTGCTCATGCGTTTATGTTCGTAGACAGCAGTTTTTAAAAAAATCCACTGCTCGATGAGGACGAGCCGTGGGGTTTATTTGACCATTCTTCACGCTGGTCAGCTGATCAGTGCGGGCGAAGGCGACACGTGCAGACGCGGGGGCATAGAAAGTACGGTCCAACACGTGCAGTGGCATTGCCACCAGCTGATCACGTAGCCCACCCCCTCTGACCTCCGTGACAACTCGTGCACAGCTAAGGTCACCCATCCAAGCACTCTCCAGGCTCAACTCTGCTTATCATCCGAGATCTGACGAGACGCAGCGCATCCCGAGTAGTCTGCCTGTACGCACGGCACGCTCTTATCAATTCATACGTGAAGCGTGATTTCTTCTTGTAAGCACACAATATGCAACATTGACCCCCCGCCTCCCACGGTGATAATGCACACGTCCATAATTTCATTCATTTAACGCGGTGAAGGGCTCATTTGAATCGCGGCTAACCAGGGCCTGGTCACCGCTCGGGTCGAACCGGTTAATTATGCCTTCATTAGCTCGATGATTTTTGAACAATTATAAATCGCAGTAACAACAGCGGTTGAATTGTGAGCGATCGGCTTTATGAGGCTGTGCGAGTAAGCCCTGGGAAATGGAGCAAGGCGGTCGGTGCAGGATGGCAGGACGCAACTACAGAAGTTCTTCGCACAGGGAAAGAGTGACATCTACTGGACATGTCCAGTGGACGCACATTTGGAGGTGACGACTCAAAAATTATCGTCTTAACAGACAGGTTTTGCGTCCGACGAGAACTCATTTCGAACAGACATCGTCCCTGCCCTATGAGAAGTGCATCAGCGTTGTTTCAAGCGAGCCTCAGTGCTGATGAGTCGTTGAATGACGAAACCGGTCAAGTCTTTTGCTGGTATTTCGCCAATGCTGCTGCTGACAATATGGCACTCCCAGAAAGAAGGCATTGTGGCCGATGGGATGTGTTAAACAAACTACTGTAACTCATAACGTGGAGAGACAAACATGGAAATGAGCCAACATTGTTGTTTATTTTGTGAACAACTTCGTTTGTCGCGTTCCGGTGATGATAGGAGCTACCCGTGCGATAAAAACAGCAGTAATCGTATCGTGAATTTTATAAACTGTCGCTATATCCTTACTTCTTTCGGTAAAGTCACGTAGAAGGGAAATAATATAATAATAAAATAAAACAATACAATTGTATTTATTATTTCCCTTCTACGTGACTTTACCGAAAGATCCAAGAATATGAATCCCTGTAGTCACGAAAGCTTTAAATAGAAATTTGTCGCTATATCCTCCCTTGCTTTTTATATATATATTTTACATTTCCTGACAATATTTTGCGATGTAACGAACACAAAAATGTACGTTTTAACTAAACAACCATTTCAGATTTCCCGTTAAAAATGCTGGATTTTCTTATCAGTGTAACGGAAGCCCTGGACTGTTGTAGAAGTTCAGTACATTATTTATCGTGGAACCCACAGCATATATTGTGTGTTATAAGTGTAATATCTGGCAAAGTTGCAGTCATTTATCAGGCCTATGGGCAGGCACTTATGTTGAACGAACAGCATTTGCAGAACTTTGTAACACAAATCTTCATTCGAGCGACGAGCAAAGCAGAGACCAAACGCAAAAACAAGAAAAACGCGAAATACAATTACAAACTTATCGGAAGCAGATATCGCAATAATCATCATGTTGTTAAAAATCGATTCCTCGGTGATTTTGTTACTTGTTCTATCCCACTCGCGGACAAACGCACACCCGCTTTAGATCATCATCGGTAAATACATTATTTATTCTGCATTTATATTACTATGTGTTGTCTAGGAATGTTTTTTTGTATCCGGTTTTTCCATGTTTATTCCAATTATTTAGTTTTTAGATTATGTGCCATTCACTCCTTGTTTCGATTGTGACGCGTCTATTTTTGGTTGCCGTGTACCCAACTTCATTATATAGGTTATGCTTAAGTGTTGAAAATCGCTGCGTTGGCTTTTGCGGCACTGTCCAAAAGCATAACCCCTGCGATATTCAAGGGTCTCCTGTATCTTCTTGGTTCTTTCGGTAAAGTCACGTAGAAGGGAAGTAATAAAATAATAAAAATTAAACATAATAAAATAAAATTCTCACGACGTTTCGGCCCCAACACAAGCAGCCGTCCTCAGGTGAAGACAGAGCTGTCTGAAAGACAGCGCTCCAATGGACACTGCCAAGCTTGGCAGCGTATTTTAAGCTGGGTGGGAGGAGAAGAGCGCCTTGACAAAGGAGTTTACATATCAACAGAAGAATTTAGCATTGAATAAGCTGTGTTAATCTGAGAGAATTAGAATACGCTGCCAAGCATAGCAGTGTTCATTGGAGCGCTGTCTTTCAGACAGCTCTGTTTCTTCACCTGAGGACGGCTGCTTGCGTTGTGGCCGAAACGTCGTGAGAATTTTATTTTATAATGTTTTATTTTATTATTTTATTATTTCCCTTCTACGTGACTTTACCGAAAGAACCACGAAGATAAATCCCTGCAGTCACGAAAGCTTTAAATCGAAATGGTCTCCTGTATTTCAATGGAGGTAGCAGCCCTGTTCTGAAGTACCATTACCTTGCGTTGATTGGCTCCTCGACTCCAGCCGCATCCTTTATCCTCCACCCTCTGAACCCACGCAGGGGAGGACGCCTTTGAAGTGTCATGCTGTGTCGATCTTCCCCAATGCGACTTCTCCCCCGGATAAACTACCAGATGGTATATCATCCCCCTATAAACTGCCACATGGCAGGCCTTACCTTGGATAAACTACCATATGGTAGATTTTTCCCCGATAAACGAATTCATGGTTGACGTTTACCCCGATAGACTATCGTATGGTGAATCTGTACTCATATAGACTTACCTTAATTGTTAAAATATTAAAAAAATACAAATAAAATAATATCACTAAAGTCGCCATTAAAATATTTCAAAAAGTGTAATTCTTATTGTGAGGAGGTTGTAAAATAAATGAGCGTCAGTAAATAAAAAGCAAGATCACGGAAAAATATTAGAATTAGGTTAGTCCTGCTTGTGATGTGTAGCCACTAGTGTGGATTCTTGTGTTTGTGGCAGAAAACTGGAATGCAAATGAGATTTGCATCCACCATGCGCACGTGTCTTACGTGATAATGTTCGTGAAAGTGGCGTTTAAAATGTTACTCATTCAAAATTGTTTTTATAATGTGTGCTGTGGTCTCTTGTCACAGGAGGGGAAAGAGCCCAGAAAATTGGATTGGTCAACAACCACTCAGCCCTTCTTGGCACCACTGAGACCCAGAAGCCTGATCCTGAAGCCTGACCGTACATCTGAAACCTTCCTCATTCGCCGCACACGTCATGCACGAGAGATTTTAAAATAAAATCCGAACGTAATTTTTTTATATTTAAAAAACAAAGTTTCCGTCAGAGCTTCAGCGACGAGGAGCTCGCACATTGGATGGATGCGTCTGCTCCGATACTGATGAGTGCGACAGAGGGCCTGCGATGGGCGGCCAGGGCGCAACATAGCGATTGCGCGCGTGGGCCTGCCCTGCACGCACATCCCTAGCCCAGAGGCCTCCCAGCGCCACCCCGGGGTCGCAGTATAAACGACGACGCGTGCTGCACAGCACCAGCACATGCCCCCAAAGTGTTTTTTACTTAAATTCTCAGAAACGTCCGTGGCTGAACGAAACGTCAATTTCCTTGCGCAGAATTTACACTTATTTACATCACTCTGCCGAGTTCAAATTGCAGTTGCCCCTTGTTTACGACACTTAACCTAAAAAATTCCCAGTAAACACCCCCCGCGAAAGAACCACCTACCATCACTAATACCATCAGAACTCCAATCGCCATCACCAGCACCATCACCCCCACGTGTCTGTCGGTGTTCTTGGCTCGCTGGCTCGGCGTCTCGCGCATGGTGACGCAGACCGTGACCTCCCCCGCGCTGCCGCTTCCTCCTTGCACCGGCCCCACCGTGCCCTCCGCCGCGTTCCGGCCGTCGCGTGCCAACGCGGCCATGGAGGCCGTGTGTTTGGAGGAGCCCCTGGACTTGAAGCTGGGCACCGGGAGAGCAGCGTTGGCAGTGGCGGGGGCCGGCGATGACTGCGGACGTCGCTCTCTGTCCAAGAGCCGAGCGGCGGTGGCGGCGGCCGCTCAGCAATATTACGATTACGCTGCGCGTGAGCGCGGAGGGCTTGTGCTCAAGATGGCAGACGACGGGACGGCCCTCATCACTTCCTTGCCCACGCTCACCCCCACAGGTATCGTGTGTTTGTGTACGCATGTGTGTGTGTCTGTGACAGTTGTTATTTGGCACAGTATGGGGTACAGGTGGTGCATCTGCCAGTCATCTCAGTCAACCCACGGTACCTGGGTCTGCCCCGTGACCTGCCGGTGGGTGTTCAACACTTCACGTGGCCTTAAAGTGTACATAGCCTGGCTTGCGTGCCGTGATGATGGCACCGCCACTTAGTGGCGAATGGCAGTTGTGTGTATCTGTGTATGCGCGCACACATGTGATGGTTGTAACTATGTACGAGTTTGCGTGTCTGATCATTGTGGTAACTGTGTGCGCGTGCGTGTTTGATATTGGTGTGCAACTGTGTCTTTGTATTTTAATTTAGTGTAACAGTGTCTGTACGTGTGTGCGTGTAATAGTTGCGTAATAGTGTCTTTGTGTGCGTGTCTGTATACGCACGCGTTAGTTGTGTTTAACTGTCCACATCCGCACGTGTTAGTTGCGTGTAACTACGCGGTCTGGATTTGCGCGCACGCACGCACGCACGCACGTCTGCGAACAGATCTGCTGGAGCAGGCCCAGGAGAGACTGGGCCTGGACGAGTCTACAAGCCTGGGCATCGCTTTGCACCGCGCCGCTCTGCTCGCCAAAAAGGAAGCGAACGTAAGCGCGACAGTGGCGCTCGCCCCATGGGGGAGCGGAGACTCCCACCAGCGCAGCCTCACCACCGGCGGGGGGGTCTCGCTCCCGCTGCGTACTCGCCAGGCCCTTTAACGATTCAAGCATCGCTCTCTCAATTTTTAAACCCATTTGCAGCGTACGATTTTTTTTTTTCGAAAAGATAAATTTGCATTCATATTTTTTTTTTCCATAATCGCTTTGCGGGTTTAAAAATTGGCGGCCTACCGCTTAACTCGGTAGGGGTTGTAAGAGCAGTCATCTCTCATCCTACGGCAAACAAAATATACGGAATTTCGCTATAACATAACTTATAAAATAAGGAAATAATTTGATATATGTTTTGTAAAATTCCCATTGACGGAATTTTTTAATCTCTAAATTCTATATTTTTGGTGGGGGAGGGGGGTTAAATCGATCAATGCACAATTCGTAATTTGTCCTAGCGTGCATTGAAATCGAACAATGTACGATTCGTAATTTGCCCTAGCGTGCATTTCGTGCTGCTCCAGGTTGTTTGCGCACACTGTCATGCTTTACTGGTTTCTCGCGCTTTTCATGGCGTCCTAGTTTGGCTTGTTTTGGTACAGTCATGTGATTTTGTGACTTATTTTTAGTATTAAGATTAGTATTTTAACATAATTATCGATTATCCATGAAATATGTGCTTTAAAAGTGTTTGCTGTATCTCCATTTATATAATGGAAGTTAATGGGAAAAATTGGGTTCGACATACACAGTATTTTGCTTTACGGACAAGTTTTCAGGAACGTATCTGTTCTGTATATCGAGGGATGCCTGTGTGCATTTATCTGACATCGGTGACCCTTGTAAGACTTGACCCTGATGCCTAAACCACGGTTAATTGAGCATCATGACCAAATGCTGGAATTTTTGCAAGGCATTCCGTAGATTTTTTTGTATCTTCATTGGTGGCCTCGTTGTGGTTTAAAGAGACGCAGGCTTTGAAAAACGTTGAATTCAATTGACTCGTAAACGGGTAGCTTCACGTGAAGGTTCGTGTCAAATTTAGTTTTTATAAAAAAGAACAATACAAATGTGAAATGAAATGACAAAGTAATGGGGAACTGATATCGTGATAATCGTCACGCGTATGAAAACTTATATTACGGCAACGCTAGCCAACCAGCGCTGGCCAGATGGGTTGGCAAGGCTGCCCGGAGATTAGATTCCACTGACTCCCGTGCCCGGGACTGTTTGTACTGCATGGTGCGATCTGTAAGATACGCAGGTGCAAGCCCGTGGATTGGTTTAAATACCCTTATCAAGATTTTTAAATATATGAACGCTTTCACTGAAAGCCGATGCGATTATTGTAAAATTGGCGTGGGTTCCTATCCAGGGCTATTGATCTCTGCAAAAAGGTTTCTTGTGTGGAGTATTTAATGGTCTCGGCCGAGTCACTGTTGATTGCACAAAACCATCCATTGTAAAACGTGGTAAGTGCTGTGCTGCGATTGTGCGTGTGCACATGTGCGTGCCGCAAGTGCCTGTTTCAGTTGTGTTCTATACAGGAGCTTGCTAATAGCTCATGCACTCCAGCAGTTTACGAGGCTACACAGGAGATCTTTGGCCTGACCTGTGCGCTGTAGGTGCCTTTTTTACCAATATACAGGTCATGATTTCTTGCCCCCCACCCCCCCACCACCACGTGTGGCTCTTTAAATAAAGATCTTTACCTCTATATTCTTAGGTTTTTTCGGTAAAGTCACGTAGGTAAAACATTAAAATTAATAAAAGTAAAATAAAATAAAAATCACGACGTTTCGGAGGCAACACAAGCTTCCGTCTTCAGGTGGAACCGTCACAGCCACGACAGCTGTATCAAGTAAAAAAAAAAAGCTTGTGTTGCCTCCGAAACGTCGTGATTTTTATTTTATTTTACTTTTATTAATTTTAATGTTTTACCTACGTGACTTTACCGAAAAAACTTAAGAATATGAATCCTTGCAGTCACGAAAGCTTCAAATCTATCTTTACCTCTGTGTTTTGTGTATTCTGTGTGTGTGTGCGTGCGCATGCAGATGAGGTGGGATAGCCTGGTTCTGCCGCTGGGCCCAGATGACACAGATTTCTCGGGGCCGCTGACTTGCCATTGGAAACGAGTACGTCACGCAGCCACGCACTGCAGGGCCCAAATCTGGCGGCGTTTGTGGCCACAGAATACGTTACAGCAAAAATATGTTACCTGCAATTAAATAGTTATGGGAAACTGATATCGTGATAATTGTCATATTGATAGGTTGATTAATATCGTGGCAATTCTAGTCACCTATGCTGGCGAGATGAGTTGCCGGTGCTGCCCAGAGGTGATATTCCACTAGCTGTAGTGCCTGAGGCTTAGCAATGCATGACAAGACTTGTAAGATGAGCAGGTGCAAGCTCATGGACATCGCTAATACCGAGGTTGTGTGTCCCTAAGTGTCCTGAAGGGCCTCTGCGGTGATGCGACTTAACTTGTATGCATGTTTAATGCCTTTGGCACTTGTACGTAGCCAACCGTGCTAATCGGAGGTGCATCATACTCGAGAAGAGATGCTACAATTATGTCAATAGCATGCCAAAGTAAAGCTTTACCGTTATATTAACTTGACAGGATTTTTTTTTATCGTGAGTGAAATTTAAAGTTGTGCCATACTGCTCAGGTGAATGCCTACAAGGTAGATGTTATTTGGTTTTAACGCTTTCTGAGCAAGGTTCGAAGTCATTGATGCGTTAACTCTGTTCGTCCGAAACGGTGTGCGCACTCCCAACTGTCGTAAAGATGATGCAGTATTAGCGATCCCGTAGGCTAATATGGTGTTGCTATTGGGGAATAACCCTTTTCGACAATTGGCCAAATCGGTGTTGCCCAAAAAACTTTAAAGATAAAAATAGGAGCAGAAAGGGGTGTTTTGCGAATATGCAATAAATGTTGCCCTCTCCGCTACTCGTAGACTTTGTTACTGCTAATTAAATTGCTCCGAAGACAAACGCGCATTGGGAATAACGTTACATATAAATTACGCGTGTGGATGATTTTCCCCGACCTGTTTTTGGAGTTGCACCGTTCAGTAACCCACAAAGATCACCCCGTATAACCTTAGCAAATTGTTGGGGCAAGTGCTGTTTCGAGCACCTTTGAAGGCCGGCACGGCACACGAGGGGGTGGCCAACACCACACCGGCCGCCTTTGTCTCCCTTAGTGACGATGTTTACACACCGCACCAGGTACTCTTTTGGTTCTGGGTCGACCTAGGTGGGACCCAGGGCTGATTTAGATAATCGTCACTGGTGTTGGCCGTGAAAGCGGAATCGAACTCAACCACGAACACTACCGCTACCCCCCCGCCCCACGCGCGCGTTCCCACATGCGTGTGTTCTCGTGCGCAGTGCCAGCAGGTGTTCGACTCGCAGCAGGAGCTGGTGGAGCACGTGCACGACGCTCACGTGCGCGCCGATCGCGAGGTCGGATACTGCTGCCACTGGGAGGGCTGCGCGCGCATGGGGAGGGGATTCAACGCGAGGTGAGGCCTACGCTTGCGTGTGACAGAAAGGAAGAGAAATCGGGCACGCAAAGCGGATTCTTTACCACTTTCCGACGTGCGGTTGTCCTCTCGACGCATTTACTTTCGCGATAATAAACGATGGGTTTCAAGCCGCACGAAGGGATGGCGTCGCGTGGCGAGGTGTCGTGCGATGTACGTTGCGAGATGGCAACACGTCACCTAGGCCACTTAAGGGTGATTCTTTTTAACGCCGTTTTTTTTCGTCAATAAATTTAACGAAATTTTACGTTCATTTTGAGCGGTTTTCGAACAGGATAAGTCTCGTTTAGTAACGCTCTAGTTTATATTGGATTATCGTTATTGAAGTAAGTTATCGTGCCCCCCGCCATTACAGGCATAAGGACAGAGATAATGCATTTAGAACGTGGGATTTTGCTCTACTGAAATACACAGGACTGCTCCAGGCTGTAGCCCCCGCAGCAACCTATAACACCTGCATGGTGGTCACCCATGCAAGCACCATCCGGGCTCGATCCCCCTCAGCTGCCGATATCTGATGAGATTGGGTGCGTTCCGGGTGACGGTGAGGTTGTACGGAGGAATCGCAAAACATTTTGCGGTTCGATGCTAAGTATTAAAATCCAGTCACCGCATTGTGAAGCATCCTCGAGTCTCCGTTTATATCCGTAAAGTATCCACAGCGACCAGGTGATTTGGCCATTAGGCCATTGACATTACACATTTACGGCCCTTTTTATCAATTCACTCCCGGGGCGAGGGCCTTGCCACGCTGCGGGAGAGGTGAGAGTTCATCGACCGTACTTCGCCACGCCGGCGTGTAACGTCGTGTAAATGTGGCGGCGATGACGACGCAGGTACAAGATGCTGATCCACGTGCGCACGCACACCAACGAGAAGCCGCACCAGTGCCCCATCTGCAACAAGAGTTTCTCGCGCCTCGAAAACCTCAAGATCCACGGCCGCTCGCACACGGGTCAGGGTGGCAGTGCTCACCACACGGTGCATCGCCACCGCACGGCACATCGGCACCACACAGCACTTGACCACCACCACACTGCACGTTGCCAGCACATGGCGCATCACCATCACATGGAACACCACTACCACCACATGGTGCATCAACACCTCATGGAACACCATCACCACCACACGGCACTTGACCACCACACGCTACTTCACGCAAGCCACGTGGAACATCACGCACACTGTCTAGCGTGCACACTAGACAGACACACTCCTACCTTGTCTCTCACTGCTCCTCGTCTGTTTTATATTTCATATACAATATTTCTCGACCTCTATTCTAGAGTTTATTTCTAGCTCCTTGCTGTCTTTGAACCTTCACTCTGCCCTTCCCTCTCTGCATCCCTGCCCTGCCCAACGCCTCCAGGTGAGAAACCGTACGCGTGCCCATATCAGGGCTGCAGCAAGCGCTACTCCAACTCTAGCGACCGCTTCAAGCACACGCGCACGCACTACGTGGACAAGCCGTACGCCTGCAAGACGCCTGGGTGCCTCAAGCGCTACACAGACCCCAGCTCGCTGCGCAAGCACGTCAAGGCACACGGCCACCAACACGGGCCGTCGCCCGACGCTCCGATGTCCGGCGGCTGCCCCCTCTCCTCCTCGTCCTCCTCGTCCTCCACCACCACCCTCCCCTCTCCACCCCCGGTGCTGCTGCCGGGCTCGCCGCTGACGCTGCCGCTGGATCTGAGCGCCGTCACGGCCCCGTTCGCCCTCGGCTCGCCCGTGGTCAACCTGAGCAAGGCGGCCATCATGGCGTCGCTGCTGTCCGCGATCACGCTGGTGCCGCCCACGCTGCTGCCGACGCCGTCCTCCTGCTCGTTCTCGTCCTCGTCATCTCCCGATGGTGCGACCCCCGCGCTGGAGGCGCAGTCGCCCACGCGGACTTACCCGCTCATCGCCCCCTGCCTCGGCAGCAAGATGTCGCTCTCGTCACTGGGACGGGGTCTCGGAAGTATCGGCGGCGGCGGCGGCGGCGGAGCTTTCGGCCGTGCGGCCGGAGTTCTGGACGCCGACTTCCTGCTGGGCTCGCCGATGGCCGGCGGGCTGCTGGCCGGGCTCGGGGCCCTGCCCCGGCTCTCGGCGGAGGCGGTGGCGGCGCAACCGCTGCCGTCCCCGCCGCCTGCGTGGCTGCTCATCTCCCCCGGGCCACTACTGATGAGGCCCACGGCCATCCACACGGAGTGACCACTGCCGCCACAGCCGCCACCCCCATGACGCCGTATGCTGCCGTAACGCGATTTTAAAGGAAGACGCCACAACCCAATAAAACAACGTCGTCATCGTCATCTTCACCACGTAATATTTATACCGCACCTCCCATGCAGTACATGTGGATGCGCTCTGTGGCAGAATGCAGTTCTGGCCTGTGAGTGGACATGAGTCTGCCAGGAGTGGGTGATGTTGCTTTGTTGTTTCCAAATTAAGTAATTTACGAGTCATTTGTCAATTTTGGCAAATTTGGACCAAGACGCTGGCACACAAGGCCTACTCCTCTCTTTCACAGTACGTGACGTCATCTTTAATGTCCGCTGTGAATCAGACGGCACTTATCTTTATTGGTATTACACCCACAGTATTAACTATGGCGGTCACTGGCCCTCGAACCTTGCGAACCTTTGCAACAAGCGGCAAATGCGCCACCGCCTGCTCGTGCAGGGTGTTCCATTCATACATACCCCGAAAAACACTTATTACATATTTTTTACGCTCGTCTCTCTAAGATATCGCTTTTACAATATTCAATCACCTGTTGAGAAGAAGAAAGGGTGGTCATTAGAAATCAGTGGGGTATCTATAAAAGTATTTCAATCGAGGCTGGCAACAGGGCGATGCGGTTGCGGAAGAGCTCCAATAGATGGGACCCCCAAGCTGAATTGAGAATCTCTGCATCACTTCCAGGGCTGGTAGCGGTTCCTGAGCACCCCTGGGAGCTTCTCTCCTCAACAGGCAATTCATACCGTGCCAAGTGCTGTTTACATCTATAAGTTATGAACCAACCGCTGTGTGTTCCGCCTGGCTGTCCGATGAGACGGTACAAGTGGGAAGCTTCGTCGATGAGAAAATTCTAATAATGGCCAGGCATTCCGCCGCGGCGCTCGAGTGACCTCGCTACTTTGCCGTATTTGACATGGTTTGGCGATGCCACAGTGACGTCTGCCCAACCGTAACTTTAAACTTCTTCTTGGTTCTTTCGGTAAAGTCACGTAGAAGGGAAGTAATAAAATAATAAAAATAAAACATAAAATAATTCTCACGACGTTTCGGCTACAACGCAAGCAGCCGTCCCCAGGTGAAGAATGAAACACCACCAAGCTTGGAGCGTATATTAAGCTGGGTTGGAATTTAGCATATTTATGGGAAATACGCATTCCTCTTGATATGCAAATTATTTTGTCAAGGCGCTCTCTTTCCCCCTCCAACCCAGCTTAAATTTACGCTCCAAACTTGGTGGTGTTTCAGTCTTCACCTGAGGACGGCTGCTTGCGTTGTAGCCGAAACGTCGTGGGAATTTATGTTATATTTTTATTATTTTATTATTTCCCTTCTACGTGACTTTACCGAAAGAACCAAGAAGATGAATCCCTGCAGTCACGAAAGCTTTAAATCGAAACGTAACTTTAAAGTCCGTTTTCTCGTTAACGAAGCTTCAAGCTCATGACGGACAGCAAGAGAAGCAAGGCCGTGGCGTGTGATATGTCTACACGACGATGTGGTTGTTTTTTTGGGTTACGTCTTATTGTTTTTATGGAGTTAGTGTTGTAGCGTTCTTTGGCCACTTAATGTGCACGGACTCACGGGGAAGGGAAGGGAGGTTTCTCTCCTGCAATAAACAGGCGCGCGCACACACTCGCTCCAGTACACACACGCACGCGTACACACCCGCGTGCAAGGGCACCCGCCGCGTATGCACACTCGCGTACCTACGTGCACACGCGCTCATGTGCTGTACCAGAGGGATGCTTTTTTTCGACGACGTATGCATTTGCATACATACCGTAGAAGCACTTGTGTGCATAATAATGTCATTATGCATACGCAACGTATAAATATAAGCGGGCCGTAAACTGTTGCTGCTCCGGTGACAACACTTTCTTAGCATTCCAATTGATCTCTCTTTTCTTGACAGAAAAAACTTACTCGTGCCATTAGGCCCACCTGCAAGCCTTGACACTGCCGGCCGTTAATGAAGGCCTGCCAGGCAAAGTGTCATATCCTTATTTTCGCCGGCGAAACAGACATTTTACAAATCTTACAATTACACCACAGTGTGGATGTAACGATTAATCAATTTGCCGATTCATATCGATTAGTATTGTTTACGATTCATTGCAGTTTATTTGCTCGTGTCACATTCAACTGAATGGAGCCAATGTAAATGTGTAAATGAGACGGAAAAACGAATTTAAACAGCACAAACAAGACCGTTAAAATGAGACGAAAAATAATTGATTCCTGATTCAAACGGTGGATTCCCCTGTCTTGAGAATTAACCGAGTTGCTGGGGGGAGGGGCGGGGGCAATCGTCAAATGCATAAAATTGGCAGCAGTAGCCGGCTGTAACAACTCTGGTTCATAATGCCATCCTGTTGTGTGGTCGGCTCAGATCAGACATCCCGTCAACTATTGGACGAAGCTAATTCACCGTCGTAATTAATTGGATGTGCTGCCCCCCAGCACAGGCTGCTGGGTTAGACGCACCCAGTCTCTACCCTCTGGCGCTGCGGGAAGCGATCGAGCGATACGAATCTGCGCTTTACGAGAAATAACCACAGGGAAAAGACGCATCATCCAATCGTTTCGTAGGTTAACCGAACGTTCGATCAATTGGTCATGAGAAAACCATTACTGATATTCCTAATGCACCACATGATGAAGCACTGCCATGCACCGTCCATAAGCCACAGTGTTTTTCAGACAAGCTTTACTTATAAGCGCTGCTGGATTCGTGTTCGACGGATTGATTTAAAAGTCGGTTTTAATGATTTCTTTTTACACTTCCATTCATTCCTCAATTCTCCTAAATTGAAGAATGAACAAACACCGGAGGCCTTTAAACGCTTTTCGTTGACGACGGCTACCGGGTTCGCTGTGAACCCGCGCGAGCTGAACTAACCGGTGCGCGCTGAGCGATTGTGATCCGGCTTCCTGCTCGACTCCCCCCCCCCCCCCCCGCGTGGTTCATTGGGGGGCTTGCGTTGGGAGGACCAGGACGGACGCAGACGCTCACACCGGCTTGAGCCGTACCTTGTCAAGGGATCGGCTTGGGGTCGGGAGGGGGGGGTGCCCTGTGATTGGGTTTACGACGACGTTAGGGTTCACGTCACGGGATCGTGGACACCCGGATAGAAACGACGGGCATATTCGCAAATCGGCGGAGAGTTTTGTGGTCTCTAGCAACTGCTCTGCCCACTCCATCTCTGTCCTTTCTCTGTCTCCTGTGCCAGGGTTCTTCAATTGGTGGCCCACGGCCTTGCATTGGCCTGCCGAGTAATGGCCCGTTGTGGCTTACCGAGACGTAAAGAGATTCGGATGACATCATTAGACCTCCTTTGTCAGTGCCAAAATATAATAATAGGGTTTTTCCCCGTCTTTCTGGCAACAAAACTGAAACCTTTTTACAAGGATTCATGTCTGCATTAACCACAATACTTGCAGTCAAAATGCAAACAAAAACATACTATGATAATATATGCATTGTCCTTGAAAACTGATTGGTCCACACCAGAGCCAGCTTTCTTTTGAGCCTCGCCTTGTGGTTAATGCAGACATGAATCCTTGTAAAAAGGTTTCAGTTTTGTTGCCAGAAAAAAGGGGAAAAAACCCTATTATTAGATTCAGATGAGTGAGATGAAAGAGCGAGAAACGGAGAGAAATATATGACACAGCTGGGAAACAAGCGGTACATTAGCGGTCACGTGTTCATACAGTCGGGTGTCATATCTCACGTGGCCTGCCAGTGCATGCTAATTTTATTGTGGCCCTCTGGCGAGTATATTTGAAGAACCCTGTCCTAAGCTGTCGCCGCTCTCGCTGCCTTCTCTCTCAATGCCCCCCTTGTACATTCGTCAATGACTGCTGCCCCGTTTGGCTGTTCAAAAATCTTCTCTCCATCATGTCCGACCCGTGTCTTCCTCACCCTCATGCTCACGCCGCTCACCGAACACCCACTCCACGCTCGCTCCACGCTCGCTCACTCCACGCTCACTCAACATTCGCCCCACGCTCACCCCATGGTCGTTTCACCTCTTCGCTCACCCCACAATCATCCCAGGCTTACCCTCGTGCTCACCCGCGTGCTCACCCCTAGGCTCGGCACACGCGGACGTAGCGCCAGCGTGTGTTCTCGCTCACGCTGGCGCTGAATTCAAAATGTTTAACTTTGCACTTTCTTAGGTTTGAATCCACGTTCCGGTGGCTCGTGACGTTCGATTTCACAACGCACGTTTAGTTTCCGTAGTTTACATGAACATAATTTTTTTTTTCTCTCCCCATGGTGCATTTACACCATTGACGTGTTGCTGCAGCGCACGTGTGTATTAAGGTTTCACCTCACTTAAGCGTTATTCTTTAGAGTTGGTAGCATGCATCAGCTAGCTTCGTGGTACGTAGTGCATATTAAGATTTTTTTCGGGGGGATCATTCCATCGCCGAGTAAAGGCCGCAATGAGCAATTAACCAACCATTATTACTGTCGAGTAAACAAATACGGATAAAAGGCCCTTGTTTCAAACTATATACGAGCCCTGAGAATAATTGCTGCACGGTCACACAGGCACTGTGGCGCTGACATTCCATGTTTTTTTAATCGGCCAGTCTTGATCTGCTCGGCGAAAGACCTCTCAAAGCAGACTTCTGTGGGTTCTCACTAGGCATGCAACGATGCATCGATTTTAAATCGATTCTTACGCTCTCGATACGTGTGCATGCGGTGAATCGTGTTTGTGTGAATCGATCGTTTAAAGTTAATGCAAATGATACGGCGTTGTCATTTTAGGCTAACGGAGCAAACACATCTGTACAAATGAGAGGGCAGAGAAGCCGAGAAACAATGCAATTAAGAGCATATAGAAATATAGAAAATTACCTGTTATTGAATCTAATCGCAATTCCAAATCATGATAAATAATTGAATCGCTGGGGAGTGGCGAATCGATGCATGCCTAAGTTCTGACCCTCGCGAATAGAATCCTCATTTCACGATGCCCGCGTCTAAGACCACTGGGTTCACGGAGGCTTTGTCATTTCTGAAGGCCAAGACCACTGTCCCTGCAGATGCAGAGCAAAATATGTGATTAAAGCACAACTGGTCTTCTACCAAGAAAGTCAACTTTGGCACTACCAGCCCTAATCAAAAGCCCAAACATAACTACAGCCCGTAATTCTAAATCCTAACCCTCAAACTTTATCCTAACCCCTAACTCTTTATCCTTAACCCCAAACCCTTAACTTTGAAGTCCTAACCCCTCAACCCTCATTTACTCCCTAAGCCCTAATACTAACCCCAACCCTATTCCCTAGCCATTAACTCAATCAAACCCTACAACCCTAACCCCTTAACACTACACAATAACTGAAGAAATGGTGTCCCCTAATATTTCGTCAACTGAAATCCAAGAAAGGGCCATGAAAAGATACAAATCTGCAGGGACAGTCGTCACTTGCTGTTGTAGAGGCCTGGCTGCTGACAACTTTGCCATCGTCACACCCTTCACGCACTGTTACCAACTTAGTGATGTCGCTTCATTTTGGTGGCTTTCTTGACTTCTCGTTTGACAACTTTTTATAACAGCGGCTTTAGCGGCAAACCGAGTGACTGGGACAAAGACATTTTACTTGTGCAGCTTTAGAAGCGGTTTCATGTCTGATTTAAGGAACCTGCATCAGCTGACTGTGTGTAGTACGTGTCTTATAACATTTTAGACAACTTCAGAAGGTCCATCTGTAGCCACATTTTACGACTTATTGAGGTTCGTTTCTGGAGACATTCCACATTGAGCAGTTGGCAACTTTGCCATTTCTCCCACGAGACCCCGACCGTTGCCACGGACGTCGCATATTGCGGCCAACTGCTCCATCTACGACTCGAGCAAATGTACAGTAGTGTTATATATATATCGTACATATTGAACACACTACATATTTTCTGTGGCTTACACACCATGTTACATTGGTTTTGAAAAATGCACTGCAAGGCTCGGCG